GCGCTTGTCAAAGGAATCCGTGCGCATGCGCTGGACGGGGCTCAGTGAGGCTCCGGCTGCCCTCAGCTATGGGAAAAATTACGGGAACCAGAAAGTACAAGCCGTTCAACTAGTCAGCGGACTAACTCTATAGTCAAAGCGGACTAACGGTATAGTCCTTCAGAAGCATGCAGGCGTGGCCCGTACACCACGCCTGGCCACGACGCAGGACTGACGAGGCCATGATGAGCCGCTGCGGCTCCATGTGGCCGCCTTCAACGGCAAAATCAAGGATGCCTCGGCGCGTGCTAACGACCGAGCCGTCGCGCCGAAGTGCGCGCCAACGGCCCCGGACACAGCGCCATCTCACGCTAGGCGCGAGTGCCCTTCCGTCGCCTGAACAAATCACCTTCGGCCTCGCTTCCACGTTAAGCCCTTAAATCGCAGACCGTTGCCTGTTGCGATAGAAATCCCTCACACATCTTGAAACGCCAGTTCGTCCGTTCACGGGGTCCCAGCACCGATCCTCGTGACACATCACCCCCGCCCCCCCCCCTTCCTTAATTATGGGAGTACACCCCGAGACACATTGCCGGGCCGGGAGGGTCGCGAGGTCAAGTCCCCCCTCCCCCCATTTTCCCCAACTACATGGGAGGGAAAAGGTGGCTGTGGCCGCGCCCGCACGGTAAGGAGCGGTCAAGGGACACGTTTGGGGTATGGTCAGGTGGGGACGGGGACAACAGCCTGTGGAGTCACACGTGCATGTTGACGCCGGCGTCCGTTGTCCGCGGGGCCAGATGCCACCGCCTGGTTGTCGTCGCTAGATCTCCTCCGTGCTCCTCACTGAGGACTCCCTGACTGACCCTCCTGAACGGCGTCGGAATGTCCTCGTTTTCGCACGGTCCAATTTTTGTCGAAAAGCCCCCTCCGTCCAATGTGTTGCCAGACCGGCCTACCCTTTTCTTGAGCTCTGCCCCCAACGTGCCCCTGGGCCAGATCTCGGGCATGGCGTCGCCGGCGAAGGTGGAGGGCCCGCCTTCTTTCGCCTCGGGCGGTCCCTGCGTGTCCCTCTCTACCTTAATTCTCACGTAGCGTGGCGCCTCTGATGCCAGCTGGGGTGACGATGGCGCCGGCGCGGCGGGGTTCTTGGAGCGGAGCGGAAACATCTTCAAAACATGCAGACAAATATCTCTGTGCACGTGTGGTTTCGCCGATGATCTGGCTTCTCGCGTCCATGAGTCTTGACGTGATGAATCATTTCGGAAGAAGAGGTCGCCGTACTGGCCGTTCCGGGAGGAAAACGGCGACCTACCCCACCTGGCAAGGTGACGCGCACTGTTTGCCTCTCCCCCAGATTCGGGCAACAGCAGCCGCCGCTTTGGTGTCGCTGGCCGATCGGCTGGAGCGTCGGCGGATACGCATTCACCCGCGGGTCTAATGGCTGTTTGGTTCAGCGGGGGAGTTCCTGACCATGGCCGGCTTGCTCCCTGCCCTCCGTCCCACAGAGGAGCCCACCGATCCTAGACGGGTGGCGCGCAAAATAAAAAGTGTGAAAATGTATGCCTAAACTTACGAACAGGAACCCGAAGTGAAACTAGGGTACTCCTGACCCATGCACTCGCCTGGCGCGATTCGAAAGTGAAAGGCCCGCCTTTTGCTTCAGGAAATAGGCGGACCCGATCACGGACGCGATCACTGATCACGGATCACGAATAACGGACCACGGTTCACGAATCACGGGCTCGGTCACGGATCACGGATCACAGACACTCACGGGCACTCACGGACTCGGTCACGGTTTACGTATCACGGGCACTCACGGAAACTCACGGACTCGGTCACGGTTCACGGATTACGGACACTCACGGACACTCACGGACTCGGTCATGGATCACAAATCACGGACACGGACGGACGAATCACGGACTCAAATCCGCCATCCCGCATGAACGTGACGCCGGGAGCGCACGACGAAAGCCCGCACCAGCATAAATGAGTTTCCAGAATGCATGAGCGGATCCTACACACCATTCTCGACAATGACCGACACAACACCGCGGGGCGGCCCGTTGATTGGGCCAGGCGCACCTCCTCGCCCCGGTGGTTGGGCGCAGCACTCATTGGCGCGTCGCCCCGAGGGGAAATGGCCTGTCGCTGGCGCCGGCGGGCCGCAATATTCCGTGACAAATAACCGGCCGTGTGCGTCGCACAGACGGAGGTGCGGGAGCCCGCGGTAAACCGCGCAGTCGTAACCAGCTTCGGGCAGCGGCGTGGGACTGCTGCTGAAACATTTTGTTGGGGGGGGGGGGGGCAGATGGTTTCAATTTTCCCCCTCCTCCTTCAGGGACGTTTGAGCATCCCCCCCGCCCCTCCTCCATCAGGGACGTTCGAGTAGCGAGACAACCTGCCCACCCCAGAGACCCGTGTCCTCTACTTGAGAGGCCCACGGCCGGCCAGCAGCCGTGCAGAAGGGTTGTCTGCGGGCCGCGATCCGGTGACCCAGACAGGGCTGGGCAACGCGCTGTCCAGCGGACTCGCACGGGCAGGTTTCTACACCGTTACCGCAAGCGTAGCGCACGCTGCGTTGCTTTTGGTAGCTCGGTGGAAAAGCGGTTCCCGTTTGTTGAGCACCTTTCAAAGATTGATGGGTTGTGTACCAGGTGTACGCGCGATAAGACATCACGCGCGAGACTGCGGGTGGCAAGCTTATCCCAGCCTTCGCATAGAACAGCTTTTGCTATAATGGAGCAACAGCTTCTGGTTAAGCTGCAGAAGCCGTTCTCTGCATGAAGACATATGGTAACTCTCCCTTTGCTGGGATGACGTCATTGAACACGAAAACAGTAGGTGAGCCACCAACACGGTTCTGTCAGTGGATATAAAGCAAATGAGTTTCATGTTTCCGCTTCGGGGCTGTCACGGAATACAAGCACGAATATTTTCATGCAAAAAATAATTCCAATTTGCGCCTCCTTTTGAGCATGAATTTAATGATTCTAAAATCGTTCATCACCAATCAATCACCTACGAGGCCTCTAGTGACGGTCTTGACGCATGAGGGCGAAGCTTAGAGACTGACAATGCCGTTCACAAACTTTGCTGGATTGTTTTGGCACTGCGCACAGGGGACAATCCACAAGAACATTCGTATACCGGATATATCAGGATATTCGCCGGAAATCACGCTGCCATTACAGGCTGGACTGACACACGCCGATAGCCGAGCAGCGTAACGCGGAACACCGACAGCCGATACCGATCTAAGTAACTCAGATCAGGCAGGATCAATAGCATCGGACCCGGCAGGGCCTGGTGGTTTCTAAGCACCGATATCTGAGGAAGGTACCGACGCGTTTTCCGATCCAGAAAGCGCAGGCGGAGTATGTCGTCAGACAAAAGCGATGACAAGTCGGTTATCAGGTAATAGTAAGTTGTGCCGTTGTTGAGAAGACCTGGCTCAGGTCAACGCATAGCAATAATTATGCATCGTGTTACAATAAAGCATGCTTTGAAACATGTTGCTATGGTGCTCTGGTTACTATGGTTGCTAAGAGCACCGACGCATGTTGCCAGGGAGGATACGATTCCAAACAGCTAATGATCTCTTGTAAAACTTGACACAGACGCCGCAATCCCCTGCGGCTTTTTACGTAAGCATAGTGAGGCCGTGGACCCTGGCATTGCTGGGGCTTGCGATTCCGAGGCTAACAGTAGCCATCATCACAATGATCCATGTTTTAAACCATGAAACATAATGTACCATGCAAACATAAATCCAAAATATTTCCAGTGATTTTTTCCGGTTTGTAACGTGCTGATTCGGACTGAAAAGTTCAATCTTTTTGCGCTTTCATTCTAAACTTGGTGCCACCCAGATCATGATCCCCTCCTCCATTACACCCCTACCCTACCCCTATCCCCTACCCTATCCCGCGTCAGGCAGGGGTATGACGAAACCACGTCCGGCCGGGGAAGTTCACTTCCACTCGTAGACTTCCAACTTCCAGAGGTTGTATGAGAAAAATGAAGATCTGTTGTGATGGCCTGGTTAAATCATGAAGAATGCACACCAAAGCTTTGTGTAGCAGAAAGACCTCCGATGACCTCACATTTGACCTTGTGTCTGATGTGAGGTCATCAGAGGCCACGAAAGGTCAAAACAGTCGTTTCGATAGATGCGGGTAAAACCTGTCAACATGTCGGGACGGATATTGAGGACAGGGAAATAGGCGTTAATGCAAAAGTCCATTCCGACCATTTCTGTTCCCCCACATGGATGAGGTCAGATAAGGTCACCGTCCAAAATTGTTGCACCAGCATCCTACAAGAGCAGTCCTTTCTTCACGATGTGCTTCTGAGTGAGTTTATTCTATTATATGCAGCTGCGGGATGAAAGTATTCCAAACACAGACATACCATTTTAGGGTGACCTATAGGTCATCTGAGGTGAACTTGGTCAAATTTACTGGACTATCTTTGCGGAAAGATGTTTCCAGACTCACCAAAATCACGCCATAAAGAACGATTTGGCTGTGTCAGTCGATCTCAACGTGTGTTTGTTTGGAATAATCGTTTCCGTGTCATTTGCCAAACAGCAACTTTGATTTTGATGTGAAAAACCGCCGGAAAACAATCAAGCCAGCTTTCAACCGACAAACCGTTATTACCTAAAACTCCGTACGTTTTGTTTAAACATCTTGTAGAGGAACAGAGGGGTTTCCAGCAGTGATGTCAGCTCCTGAATATATTTTTGTGTTCGTAGTCGAAACTCTTTCCTGACATTTTTTAGCTGGCACTGATGTTCGAGGAATATGTTGGAAAGATGAGTCATTCATTATCTCCCATGACTACGATGATCCAATTTTGTCAATAGTCTCAGGGCGGCCAAGCACATTTGTGGCTGAGTAAAGCATTTCTGAAATGTTTCCAACCCAGCATTTAATTCAAACGAGGGGAACTCCATGTGCACGTCAAAATAAATAATCCAGTCAGCTGTAACTCAGCACAGCCGCAGCACTCACCATCGCCATCGGCGTCCTCGGGTGTGACCAGGAAGCCCAGCAGGTGCAGGTTGCTGAGATCGGCATGCCTGGCCAGGCGGTCCGCTCGGTCGGCCAGGTACCGGCGCTCGATGTACTCCGCCGCCGCGCGGTGGCGCCACGACAGCACCAGGCGATGGTGGCGCCACTGGCGGGTCCATAGCGAAGCTGTGGGAGAGACCAACAGTCAGCCGGGGAAGCACCAGACCAGGCCCGCACTCTGAACGAGGGCAGGCTATGTATTCATTTCACAGCACGTGTGACTGCTGTGCTCATTAGTGGCGAAACTACACGCGCAAATTGCGGCGGAGGAAATAGCGAGGCGCCTGCTGACGATAATGAAAGTCTCAGCACAGTGCTGGTAGTTAATCACTATGAACTGCCACGACCCCGACTGGAAACGGTTGAGTTCCACGCCAGAGCCCGAGCCTGCATCCTCCTGCCCAAATTCTCGAAGCGCCCAATCAAAAAGGTCCCAAGCGCCCGAGCCGGCATCTCGCCCAAGCAAATCGTCGTCCAAGGACGCGTGCGCACCGCACGGGCGCCGCAAGCGCACCACACATGTGGCGCGATCGCCACCGTTTCCGTCGCGCGACAGCGAGCCGCCGTCGCGCAGCAAGCGCACGGCACCGCGCGCCGGGCGACGGCGCAGAGAACCACGCCTGAGTGGACGGGGCGGTCCGGAGGGCCGCCGATGTAACAAAACGCGCCGATGCGGCGCCGAGCGCCCTCCGCCGTCAGGCGCCAGCGACACATAGCGCACGACACGGCCCCGGGGACTGACACGTCCGCCAGCGATCGATGACGGCCTGCCGATGACGCCATCGCCATGCAGATTAATGCCCAGATACGTGTGGTAATTAAAAAATTCCAGCCAGTGACGACTGCTGCGTTCGATTTCCGCCTAGCGTCACTGGGCGGAGTGATGCGTAGGCTGAACGCGGCGGTTATTAGGAAGCACACGAGCAGGGGCCAAACGACTAGCTTCTTGAAAGCTTGCTCATTAAAAAACGCGGAAAGCGGGAAGTGTGCCACGAGGGTCAGCCTAAGACTTAACGCGCTCATGGTCCATCTAACTTCAGATTACTCTGAAATTTTTAGCTGTCTTCGGTGCGCATCTTGCCGACCACGGGCAGCGACGTAATGCATCACTTCAATACGGCCGCCTTGGTTACCACCCTTTCATCTATCTAAGGATTTTCCAAAGCTGACAGCGGAGATTTCGCCGTGGAACTCGAAACTCGACTGACTTTAGCACAGCGAATAAGGAAGAAAAGCTTTTAGCTTTTGGTTTGTAGGCACTATGAGTTCAAATTTCATATGGTATATCGTTTTTCATCATACCAAGATGCACTAGCCAAACGTACTAGTTAGACGTTCTAATGCCAGTATCTGCCCAGATTGGGAGTATTTTCTGCATTCATGTGTCTTATGTTTCAAGTGCAATATTTTTTCTGGATCTTTCTGAACACTTGTCATGCTTAAGCTCGAAATATTGAGCGTTGTTAACATAATTGTTATTTGACACCACCAGTATCTTCTGATATATTGCAGGTTCTGCACGCAAAATAACAACCTTGAACTCACATCACACAAAATAAGACGATTCATCTAACTTGTCATGCTCGAAATGAAATCAGATCCTAACATTCTTTCTCAAAATAAAGCTTGATTAGACAGGATGCTAGACATGTGGAGAAAGCGTGGCAGAGTCACGTGCCATATTTAAGATCGTGTCCACGTAAACAACACATTTGCGAACAACTCCGTCTTTTCCTGCGACTGTTCCGCGGGACAATTCGAATTATGCCTCCCCAGTGTTCGGGCTACACACGTGGCTTAACATCACACTTTAAGTGTCATAAAGTGTCACACATAAATTATCAGAAGTGTCATTAAGTGTCACACTTTAAGTGCAATGAAACTAAACGCTTGGCAGCGCTGCTCCTACGGCGGGTACCGGTGCATACCAGACACCAGGGCTGAACCTCTCATGCAGCTGTAAAGAAAACAAATTTTTGTTGCTGACTTATGGGAAACAGCACACATTTGACGCGTAGTTAGGTGTCCGGTGTTCATCCTGCAATGCAAGAAACGGATCGTCTTTTATTCAGGGACGGCGAACGCTGCAAGGGGGAGAGAGACGGCTTCCCTCCCCCCCCTACCCCACCCCCACCTCACCTCACCTCCGCAGAAACTTAGCAGTGATGCTACGATACTGCATGGAAAGAAACGAGGCCGAGAAGAAAGAGCAGGGACTCAAACATATTTCAGCCGTATGCCGTCATCAGGTGAAGGGTAGAGTTACGTGTAGAAGAGGAAAAAGAGCGGGCAACCACAAGGCTTCGAAGCGAAAAGAGTGCAAAGAAATTCTTCCCTTCCTTCCTTTTCTTGTCTAACAAGTTTTTCTTGATTTTCTTCGTTCACTTATTTTTTTCCTAAAAAACCAACTCTATCCTCACTCTCCCCCCCCCCCCCCCCCCACCTGAAGGCAGTCTTCGGCTGAGAATGTGTGTGTGTCTCCGTTGTTATTTCTGCTCGGCCTTTACCATAGTGCTTCGTACTCCTACGACCAGGTCAGTGAATCCTAATCGCCTCACGGCGGCGGATTTAGGAGAGGTGGAGGTGGTGAGCTCCCCCCCCCCCCACCTCCTACCCTCCATGGTGAAATTTGGCGCCCTGTGCCGAATGTGTCACAACATTCCGGAACTGCGAAAAATAATCACAAACTCATATCACCACCTGAATTTCGCACAAATTCCGAATGCTGCGCCTTGTTCGTCACACTGGCCCGGCAGCTGCTCGGTGGTGGTCCCAATCCACTGCTGATGGTGTTTGCCCCACGGCGCCAATGTAAAGCCATCCATCACTCCCCGGCGGCCGGGCACCGCTGACTGTTTGCTCGGCTTCGCTGACATGTCGTGGGACGGTCGAGGACGAGTCCGATAAAAGCGTTCCAGGTCCTAGTATTTGTACAGACAACATCGTGCTTAGTGAAGCATTCAGGAAGCGTGCGGGGTGGTAGTTATGATGTCATATAATTATGATGAAAACATCACAACAATGATACATTTATCATGAACAGCCGCACCACTTTGGCATGGCTGAGTTCGAACTGCCCTTGCATTGCAAAAATAGTATCACTGAATTGAGTGCTTGTTTAAATACCGTACACGTGTTTCCATTGTGTTTAGGAGTTATTAGCTCACATCGGGAAACATATTCGACACTTCGTGCGTCGCCTGTCATATAACCGCACCGCTTTTCAGTGTGGCACTGTTACAGTGAAATGAGAAATACGTCCTTACTTCATACTAGTCAAATGTTTTAGGTATCCTGCAAGGAACACGATGATAATTTGTTCAGGGTGCTATCAATTATATATATATATATATATATATATATATATACGTAAAACTAAGTTATAAATACGCCTTATTCACGAATTTTACATCGATGACTCCAACCCGTCCCAGAAAAAACTTTGTCATTTGTAGCCATTTGCAACACCGCATCTTTTTTAAAGGAAGAGATAACTGAACTATGCATGCACGGCAACGTTTGCCACTTTTTGAGCAAACTGAAATTTTTACCCTGTAATCTGGTGCAATCCAGTGAGTCGGCCACGTCTAGTCCGAAACAAAACCCAATCCATGTCGATTTAGCTCAGTCAAACCCAATCCAGTCGGATCCAATGGCGTCGACTCACGAATTAACAATAGATCCGTGCACTAAAAAGGCCGTAAAGAGCTGTAACAGACAAATTGCATGCAAACATTTTGGGTAGCGATGAAGCCGGAGAGAACCATGCCATGCGGTATAACAACGTAGTCGCCCTGTGCGCGATTTGCCAATAATGGAGAAGGCATCTAAAATGGCTTCGGTAAAAGTATGTGAAAAGTATCCAGAGCGACAAAGCCCAAGTGATGGCACATCGGACAGGACATATTATTCAGATGTAAATTAAGGATAACGAAATGATATCCCCATGGCGTGTGCCGCCCTCGTAAATTAGAAAACATCGTGACGTTCTTTCGCCAGACGCCTCGGTAAGAGCGGAAACAATGTGCGAATAAAAGAACTCTCACCGTTTATGACAGGAGGCAAACAGTACACAAAGACATGTGATGGGGGTTATGAATATGGATAATGATATCCATATTATCCATACCCCACGGATATGGATAATCACATAAGCCTGCTTCAAACGTAAAATATTTGGCAATGTGCTACTATGCCTGGCAACTTCACTCCATGTTCCGCAAAGACGCCATGGATTCACAGACGACGCCCAATGTGCAGACGTTATCGCTGCGCCGCAGGGACAGTCTCTGATAAATAACCTGGTCATGGCAGGCCCCGGTAACGAATGTACGGCAATTCCGTACACGGCCTCTCCCGCGGCAAACGACCCCCACCCCACCACCACTGGGGACAGGGGATCAGTGAGCAAGGCCTGCCCGTGTGAGGGCAGGGCATTGGCACCCCCACACTTTGCATGGAAGCTTAACATCAAGCCCTCTGCGATGAAGGGGAATGATAGCTTTATCATGGGCTTTTCCTCCACTTTTTGACCCGTAGTGACGTAATCGCAACCCCAGCGCCCCGTACTGCCTATCGTACTGCCTATCATGTTGCCCGCCTGTCGCGGCCAGGAATACGAGCTGCAAGGAACACACGAATACTGCCTGTGGCTGCCTGTCATGGCCAGGAATACCAGCGGCAAGGAACACACGAATACTGCCTGTGGCTGCCTGTCATGGCCAGGAATACAAGCGTTCTGTCAGCTGCCGCGGCCCGTCCTATACGCCCTGTAGCGTATGCCAGACGCTGCATAGCCGAAACTGCCACCGCCAAAGCAAGCACATGCATTAATCACGATGACTTCGTCTAGCTGGTAACGTCTTCTCGAACGCGGTCCATGACTGCCGTGGACATTACGTGCACGCGCGCCTTTGAGTGTATGTGTGTTTGGGTGAGTGGCGGGGTGAGTGGACAGAAGGGGCAGGGGGGCTGTTCTCTCTCCACACATATGGCGGCTTCCCCACGCCGCCGACCACCGGCAGCCTGTCCCGTCCAATGTCAGCTAGCAGGGTCGTGTCCACAGCTCTCGCACGGCAGCCTCCCGACGTATTGCAGTTTTACACGCGACCCGACGTGAGGCTGTCACGGATAGGCTTGGGAATACTTGTGAAGTCGGCCAGCGACCAACATTCGCTTTTGTATTCTGTCCCCTTGAGAGCAGATTGTGACGATCGTGGAGCGTGGCATTCCAAGTACTGAGCTTTGTAGAGGGAGGGGAGGGGAGAGAACGAAGTGTACACAAAAATACAGGAGGCAAGAGGGACCTTAGAGCAGAAATGTACAAGCGAAACGGCGAGACAAAGCTAGACAGAGAGGCAGAGAGAAAGAACCTGAGTGGGACACAGACAGCCGGAGACAGAGATTAGCTCGATGGCTGGAACCGAGATCCAGCCAAAAGAGAGAACAACACTGGGTGGTAATGACGGTGTTTTACATCAATTATGAACTTAATCTGATTGTAATCGTGTCTCCATAGTCGCCACCAGCTCCACACGCCGCCAGCGGCCACTGGTCGGGGATGGATAGCTTTTGGCCGCGTCGCCACCACATGGTGCTCGTCTGGCAGCTGCCCAGGAGCGTTCACCCCTCCTCCCCCGCCCCCCCCCCCCCCCGCCCCCGACGCCACAAACGGCTGTGGGAGAAGCTGTGCTTTTACCTGGGAAATTCCACGGCTACCGCATCGGCGTCTGCACAACACACCAGAAAGAAAGGCGAGCCATGTAAAAGCCATGTAAAGCAAGCTAAGTAAAGGTCAAGACTTGTCCGACTTGACACCGGGAGGGCTTTGACCTTTGTCTAGGGTTCGTCAATCCGCCAATAACCCGCACGTACTAATCTATTGCAACATGCGTATTGTCATTTCACTCTAAGGTTAGACCAATGAGTTAAAAAGTGCATAAACGGCATGTTCATCTCACTTCATGCATAACATTATCTAACTAAGATCAGTAATGTTACTCAGAGAGCAGCAATCGAAGTACCCGCACAACGTAATTTGTTATGCGCCAAAGTAAATCTTTAACGTTGCATTAACAGTTTTAATCTACAAATGAAAATGATGAGGCAGAAATCAAATTTGCCTTTCAGCAAAATACACCAAAGGTTTGAACTCATCATTTTCATCTGTCTTTTTTGGCTTTGAACTAATCTGCTTGATATGATTTTAAAACCTAGAAATAAAAACACATTACTTTGTGTTTAAATTTTTGACCCGTAGAAAACCGCCACATCCGGCCCAAAACCTAGCCTTCGGGTTATTGTGAGTCACAGGTTGGCGGGCTGGCGGGCTGAAAAGTTGCGCCTCTTGCCCGGTCCCACCAAAACAAGTGCAGTGTCCGGTCCCACCATAAAGTGCGGTGTCTGGTCCCACCAAGATAAGTGCAGCGTGCGGTCCCACCAAAGTAAGTGCAGTGTCCGGTCCACCAAAAATAAGTGCACTGTCCCGCCCCACCAAAACAAGTAGTGTCCCGTCCAACCAAACTAAGTGCAGCTTCCAGTCCCTGAAAATAAATACAGCGCCCGGTCCCACCAAAGTAAATGCAACGTCCCGTCCCACCGAAGCCAGTGCAGCGTCCGGCCTAACTGAGAAAACGCTCCACGTCCGAGTTCGGTAAGGACGATTTTGGCCGCAGTCTCAAACAGAGGCAACGCAGCGGCAGCTACAACCGGTTAAATACATTTCGTACGGGTGAAAACAATGGACAGATGGCAGCACTGGCGATGACGCCGCCCGCTTCATCGAATGAGATTTGACGCACGGTGACTCTAACGCCAGAAAAGGTGCTCACATGCAGGCTCGGACTCCCCACACAGTCTCCATCTCCACTTTGAGAATTATAATATTCCTAAGAAGCTATGCTGACGGAATGGGGCGACAATGAGCGGGTCAAAAGATATAATTTAGAATACTGACAGCCAAGGCGTAGAACTATAAGCACCAGTCTACCATGCACAGGACATTACGAAAACTGGGAAACAAAATGTGTCACTTCGTGTGTTTTTGTTCATAAATGAAATTCCCTTGTCTCATCACGCTACGTCTTCCGGCAAGAGGCTAACGACTGCAATAAACTGGACTGAATGCAGTCATCGACGGGCTTTCCTGGTAGCGGACAACAGCACTGCCGACGAAAAAGACCTGGCCAATACGTGGACGCGACAAGCATGCAATTCCGCATGACAAACGAGCCGAAGTAATAGATACTTGCACGTCACGACAAATATGCCGAGCGGTAGCTGCGATAGGCGAACACGCGATGCGGAACATTTCAAGTTGATGTGAACTAGGGTCTTCAGCATTAGTGGGGAATGCTGCTGAACCTAAGAAGCCGTTCCTAGAAAGCAATGCAAAACGAGGCGTCGGCAGGAGCCACGCATGTGCAGAAACGAACGCCGAACACGTACGGGCGACAAACGACCTGGAACTATCTTTTGAAGTGATTTCTTGGGGTATCAACATGAGGGCGCAATGCTTGCGCGCGGTGTGCATTGCGCATAAGCTCAGTGTCGACGCAACCCGTTAATTGTACGGCATTAAATGAGCCAGGTTTCAGAACTCAAATGGTTTGATATGTGTGTAAGGAAGAAAATAATTCTTATCGTCTCGTTCAAAATTCAAGAGTGCTTCCTCCTGCTTGGTGTACCCACAATGCCGAGAACGTACTCTAAGAAACAGTGGCGTAGTTTCGCACATTGAGTTCCGGGCTGTATATAATAAAAAATTACTGGGCCTGCCTCCAAAATATGTCAACAAAAACATTTCTACCCCGCTTTGGTCCACTTTCTTCCCACGGTCCGGATGGGGGGGGGGGTAACCCAAATTGGCTGGGCGGGGAGGGGGCTGAAGCTCCCCAACTGAACAGGAAAGGACACCCTGCTAAGCGACACGCACAAGTACTTACTTAGCTGATTCTTTAGGGCTATCCAGTCCGCGGGCGGCCACTGCCCCGCCTGCGTCCCTGACCCCGTCGCTCCGGGATCCGTAGAGGTCAGCAGGTCGCAGAGCTCAGTCTCCGTCAATCCCAGATGCGACATTGTCACGTAGCGACAGGCCGAGGCCACCAGCTCAGCACCCAGCGTTCGCTCCAGCCTATCAAACGTCACTCGGTAATAACACTCGAGATCCTCCGGAATGGAGGTGCCCGGGTGAAACGAGCACGAGCTCAACGCCCATTCCGCCGCGCATGTGACGAACAGCGCGGAAGGGTTGGCCAGGCAGCGAGCCGTCGCCGCGTCGCGCTGTTCCCTCGTCAGCACGCGCTCGCTGCGCCCCAGCGCCCCGTCCAGCCGGTGCAGCACTTCATCCCGCGTCCACGCCGACAACCGCAGCACGTTTGCGTCGTCGGTGGCGCGCCACTGCTCGCCTTCCAGGTGCGCCAGGCTCGTCGCGGTGACGATTAGCGTCACGCCCGGTCTGGCGAGCTGCATCAGGCACAGCGCGCCCGCCTCGGCGCCACTCCGGTCCAGATCACTCGGCGCCAGCACGGCGTCCACATCGTCCAGCAACACCACCACTCCGCCCTCGACCAGTTCGCTGCCCCTTTTCGCCGCCGGCGCCCATGCCGATGTCGCTGCCGCTGCCGCTGCCGCCGCCGCCTCCGGCGCGTCCCCGTCGCCGCGCGGCGCCAGCTCCTGGAGTCTCGCCTGCACCTCGCTGGCGAGCGCGGCCAGCAGCTGGCGGCGGTGCAGGACGGCGTCTTGGGGCCGGAAGCGCCGCACCACAGGCGGCGCCTCCAGGTGCTGAGACAGCTGGGCCAGCAGCGACGTCTTGCCTGCGGACAGCGCGGCCGTTATACGAGACAGCACAGCAACCAGGAGAGCCTTACAGCAGCAGGAGCGTGCACAGGACGAAGTGAAGCCGGCAGGGGCGCACCCAGGGTAGAACGTTCGGAACGGAGACGCGGCCAGGTCAGACTCAAAGGGGCAGGAGCACACTCGGGACACACTATAGGGACAAGGTCGTGTCGACGTCGGGAACAGTGCTTTGTTCAAAATATGGATTATGGATTCTGGATACCAGCAAAATAGACACATCCAGGATAAAGCTGGCGAGCCAACGAGACAAGGAGCAGAATAGAGTCAGACGACTAGAAGGGCGAAACAGCGTGTTAACAACCGCGCTGAACGGTCGACGGATAGGGGCTAGAGACACAACATTTTCCTACATATCAGCCCACTGCCCGGCCCTGCTCGTAGTCCAGCCCGCCAAAGGCCCGCCGTGCTGAAATGTTGACCCACCGTTAACCCACAACCTCTAAGCTATTACAAGCCGCATTTTGCCCTTTATCCCTAATTTTTACACATATACATTAAAAAGGTGTTCCGAATTTGTGTGGTGTCTCAACTGAAATAACCATCTTGAAGATCATTCGGCGCATTTCACAGCGATACCCTCCTAAGACCCCAAGTCTCGTTAGATTCTTTCTGAGCTTTTGTATTCTTCTGAGAACATCCACGGCTAAGATTTGAGCCCTCCGCTTCCCTGTAATTTGATAACAGACGGTATACCACTGTTCTGTATGGTGGCGTAACTTCACATTTCTTCGAGGGGTCATAGCTGTCCAATAATGAGCGTAACTCTCCTTCTAATGACTCGTCCACCAAGTGTGGAAGGCATAGGAGGAATGTCTGCAAAAAAGACCCTAAGGCCTCTACGTCCAAGCTGCTCCTGTATACAGGGTAAGTATTGGGCTGAACGGAGGCTGGGAAGGGAGCGAGGAACTGCCGGAATCTCCAGTCGATCGGTCAGCAACGAGAGGAGGACATCTGCTGTTGGCCACATCGACGGGATTAGTGGTCGTGCGACGTCCGACCACTGGTGGAAAACGGCAGAGATGCATCATCTCCCCCAGAAGAGGTGCCTCATCTCTCCCAGAAGAGATGCCTCATCTCCCCCAGAAGAGATGCCTCATCTCTCCCAGAATAGATGCTCATCTCCCCCAGAAGAGATGCTTCATCTCCCCCAGAAGAGGTGCCTCATCTCCCCCAGAAGAGGTGCTCCATCTCCCCCAGAAGAGGTGTCTCATCTCTCCCCAGAAGAGATGCTTCCATCTCCCCCCAGAAGAGGTGCTCATTTCCCCAGAAGAGGCGCCTCATCTCCCCCGGAAGATCTTCCCAGAAGAGATGCCCCATCTCCCCCAGAAGAGGTGCCTCACTCTCCTTCAGAAGAGGTGCCTTATCTCCCCCAGAAGAGGTTGCCTCATCTCCCCCAGAAAAGTTGCCTCATCTCCCCAGACGAGGTGCCCTCATCTCCCCGAGAATAGGTGCCTCATCTCCCCAGACGAGGTGCCTCATACCTCCCCGAGAATAGGTGTCTCATCTCCCCAGAAGAGGTGGCCTGATCTCACCGAGCCGAGAATAGGTGCCTCACCTCCCAAGAAACCCCCGTGAAGGCGCCGATGAAACACGTTTGGTGTCAGGAGGCGCCAGCTCCGCGTGAAAACTGGGCAGATGGGGACGCACAGCACCCCACTCAAGAGAGCGGGGCGGGCCCGCGCACCATGGGATCACGCGACACTCGAGCCCTCGCTGCAGAGCACGCCAGGAGCTGATCCCGGGAAGTGGGGCAGGCCGGCCCAGGACATGCTGCGCGAAGGGCGCTTTCCAGCTAGGCTATGGGATAACGCAGAAAGCATGGGCGGACCGACCCATTTACAGGAGACGACGTAAAAATAGTTAGGTAATAGAATACATGAATAACTATGTAACTAATTATAAACTGCGACCCAGTAACAAAATAGTTACGAAATAAAACATCATGCAAAGGACCAAGAGAAGTTTTTGGAGTGAAACCAGAAGAGTGGCAATAACCGTGCATCTCAGGCTGAGCGCCTCCGCTGGGCTTCTCTGCATCTCCCGGTGGTCACGACGCCTGCCGCCGCGGATAATCGCTTGGTCGAAGACAGCTCGCGTAATGTCAGTGCCCGAGCTAACCTGCCCACCCTTACTGGGTCATGGACGACTGTACGCTTCGAGCTGACCCTCGACCTCTCCCCAACAGGCGGTTGCGCCCCATAGCAACCTCTTCCCTTCTGGGTAACGAGAGAGCGATGGGGGAGGGACACTGACCAGGCGATCCTCCCGGCCCAGCACTGCTGCTGGGCACGGGAGGCGAGTCCTGGCGATCACGAAATGAGTATATGGGGGGGGGGGGAGGGGAGGGGGGGGGGGGGGGGGGTGG